CTGTTGTGGATGCTGTAGACGGGCATGATTGGAGCTCACGGGATGGCGACGTCATTGTTGGAGTTCTTTATAGACAGTGCAGCCTTTATAGTTTGCTGGATGGTTGGCATTGCACATTGCGCAGGTGGCAGGAGTTTCGCGTGTCTTGGAACAGTTCGTGGAGAGATGATTTCCGCCACACTTTACGCAACGTGGACTATAGCTGCAATAGCTTTTTGTATGACCAAGATAAGATTGGCAATTTAAACACTGGGGAATCCGTCGTTGTTTGTGTGGCTCTTCGTCTTTTATTTTTGTGTAAAGTATGGATGTGACATCAAATATATCACTATTGTTCTCATCGATCTCAAGGTCTACAAAGAACAGTGGTAATGGGATTTTGGTTTGATGATTGATAATATAGGTGACTTGTCTGACAGAATGACCAATTTCTTCAATTGCTGCTGAGATTTCGGAAATGGGAGTCGATGGATGGAGATTTCTTAACACTACTCTGAAAGCTTTATCAGATTTTAATTGGTACGTGTGATACTCTGCATCATTGTCTTTCAGAAAGTGGATTATTTTACGATAGTTATCAGGGGTGTCAAGCTGGAGTTTAAGATGCGAAAACGTTGACTTACAGCTGAAACTGTCTGGGCCAGTGATAGCAGCTAGTTCTTTGGATAGTTCGAAAAAATCGTTTACGCCTTTAACGAATATCGGTGGCGGCAGATCTAGTTTCTTTTGTGTATGTGTGGTAGAATGCAAGGGCCCCTGACTTTACGTGTCGACTTCAACTTGATTGTTATCGTTAGAGTTGGTGGAGTAGGTCTCATTATTGGCAAGGACAGAGTAGCGGTTTGGAGAGACAAAGAATTTTGATTTCTTGGTAACATTAGTAGCGACGGAGTTAGCGGTGTTAGTGGGGGTCGTCGGCGAAGAAGGTAGAGAACGTTTATTAGCTGCTGATTGCGACTGTGAGTTGTTATCTGTGTTTATATTATTGACGACTTTGTTCTTAATTATTTTTATAGGCGGCACGGTGCGTACACCTGAAGGTTTGTTATTAGTAGACATGTTTATCTGAGTCCAAAGGTCAACGTATGGGACGTGGCCTTGGTTAAGACACAACAAACTATATTTTAGTAGTTGGTTAAATACAGTATTATAGAATTAGTATTACAGTTTATTATATTAATATTCACTTTTTTCCGATGAAGGGCTGTGTGTGAAGAGGAAACTGAAAGTTTTCTTTGGGTACGATTTTGCTTCTATTATTGTAGGACTGAGACAATTGTTTCGAGATAAACAGTAATCATAATCATATCGTTGTACGAGACAGCGAAAAAAAAAAACGTGACCGCACTCGACGGCTGTCCGCACGGAACTATGAATACAGTATATAAAATTACTAATCTAATTAGAGGAGGCAACCGTAGTGTGAACCACTGTAATTTTATTAAATATTTAGAAGAACTAGATTGTGAGTATGGTGATTTATTATTGCACACAGAGATGTACGCTGGTTAAGTCGAGAAAAGTGTCTGGAACGTTTTTTTGGTTTGAGAAAAGAAATTTTAAATTTTCTTAAAACAAATATTACAATTGATACCACTTATTTTGAAAATCAATTAGTTGATAAACAATTTCTATGTTCATTAGCGTTTAAATAAACTAAATTTACAACTACAAGGTATAAAACAAACAATATCTCAAATAATAGGCTTTTTAGATGGATTCAGAAAAAAATTGGAACTGTTTAAAAATGTATTTGCTGAAAATAAATTAATTCATTTTCCGTGTTGTGAAGTTATAAAACAAGAATTTGATAATGAATTTCATTTTGAACATTGCATTAACCACATTGATGAATTAATTGTAGAGTTCAAAAGACGATTTGAAGAAGTTGAACTTATGCGTCCTCAAATAAATTTATTTAATAATCCTATGTCAGTTGAAATTGAAAAGCAAGATCCTTCACTTCAATTAGAATTATGTGAATTATAAACAGATCCATTTTTATTTGCAAAAGAGATTGATGTATCATTTTGGAAAACATTACCAGTTGAAAAATATCCAATTCTAAGAGATTTCGCATTAAAAATATTTTCTATGTTTGGAACCACATACATATGCGAATGTACATTTTCGAACTCGAAACATATTAAATCGAAGAAAAGAAATCGTTTCACAGATGAAACCTTGGGACATTTACTAAGAGTTTCAACTACAGAAATAGAAGTGGATTTTACTAAATTGTCTATTAAAAAACCTCATCCTCAAGTATCACATTAAATAATAATTATAAATATAAATAAATAAAGATAAAAAAAAAATATATATTAGTAAATTTGAAGGACCTCTTTTTTTTTTTTGCTTTCTCCCATGCACTGCGGCCCGCTAGATTTTCAAATACTTAAAAGTGGCCCGCTAGTTACTTTGAGTTGCCCATCCCTGATATATTGAAACTTTCAGATATTATTCATTGTATATCAACTATTATTAATAATATAATTAAGATATTATATCAGAAGAGTAAGTACAGATATAATAATTGTAAATAATTATAAAACTATTGTAAATGATTATCTTCAGTATTTTAAATTATAATAATAGTATGGACTCTCGAAATTGGCCACAAAAGATTCTGTGCGAATTTATTGAACTGTACCGAAAAACCCATGTTTATGGAAAGTTAAAGCATCAGAATATAGTGATAAAAATAAAAAAAACAATGCCCAAATCGTCGGACATCATGAAGTCGCCATACTTAACTGTTCAACGATACAAATCGTGTGTAGTGAATCACGAGCTTCGACTTATCTGAACACACTTCAAGTTAAGTTTGAACTGAAAACTGAACGTGTGTACCCAGCTTAAAATACACAAACAACTGAACTGAAGTATTCGAAAATAGTACTAGTCGCCCACGTCAGAAACAAAATTATTTGTTTAGACGCGAGCGATAATATTGTAATCGCCTGCCCGCCGGCTTGTTTACCATCTAAATAGGACATTCCATAAATTAAATCTATTTTGAATTTTATCGCGTGCCCGCCCGCTCGCTAAATCGCGTTAACCTAGGACGCATTGTTAACCATCTAACCTTCCGATCCAAACGTCAGTATAATTAAATTGTAATGCTTTTGCTACGCGATTTAAACCATGATTTGCTCTCAATTCGTTTGCGCGTAAAAGTCGCCTTTGTTCCCATTTCAATATCAATTTAATTATCAATTACGTCATTCTTCAACATTCGACGTATACAATCACTAATTTCACCAAAATATACTCCTCAAACATACTTGAATTTTGCCCATTTGAATCTGTATAGTATATTATTATTTTTTTTTAATATTTTTATTGTAAAATATTATAATATTATAAAATGGTTTACATACTCTTAAAATGTTTACAAAACAATATCTAACTCCTTTAAGCGTAATGCTATCACAAGATGGTAGTAGAGTTAAATTTCATAATAAGAGGAAAAAAATACATAGTAAATTATTCAACTTAAAGTCAATGAAATATCATACTTGATATTTAATTTAATTTTGAAATATTAGTGAAAATAACCATGAGTTAATTTTTTGTTTGATGCATGTCATTTTAAAATTCATTGAAATCCCAATTGAGGAGAATATGAGTTTTTTTATATTAAATGGCATTGAATTGAAATATAATTTAAACCTAAATAGTCAATACATTTTTGACCAAGATATTTTTTGTAATAAATTATTTTAATATAAAATGCCTTTACTTCCCTTTTTTTCCTTATATTTTTCACATCAAAAAATTATTGATTCATAATTTTTTATTATATAGTTATATATACCTTCTTGTATACAATCTCGAATGGTAGCACATTATATAGCTAAAAGTTATCTCCAGTTGAATCTACTAAAGTACTTTGTCCTAAACAGATTCTAACAATATTTCTTTGAAATATTTTTAGTAGTCTAACCGCATGTTCATTTAGACCTTCCAGACCAACAAACCATAAGAAATATTGCCCCGAATAATGATAAATAAATTATATGCATAACTTGTACTGGCAGAAAAGTCCGTAGCTTAAAAAAACTAAACAACAGAAAGCGCGTGCGTATTACAATATTATTGACTTGTAAATATCATCTCCTATTCTTATCAAAAATTAAGCACAAATATCAAATGCTAAAAACCTTGAATATTTTTTGACATACGCTGTCGTTAAAATTAATTACAATAATTAAAAATAAACTTTAAATTTTGATCCAATATCTTCATGAATTCAATTAATTTAACCAGCACACTATAGGTTTAATTACATTTTCTTCTTGACCAATTAAAACTCAAACAATATAAATAAATGTTGAACATTTCGTTATCTTCAGATATTTATTAAACGCACAATTATTGGAGATTATTATTTTTAAACAATCAGACTTCTTCAGTTTTCCTTAGATGAATACTTATTAATGAATATATCAAATTAAAATATACCAATGCATACTAAAATATTACCAAAGTATACGTTCATAACTATTAAGGTACGATTCCTATGCACGCGTCTTGAGATACATTGATAATTTACAAAGAATTTATTGATTTTTCGCGATAAAAAAAAATTGAAAAAGAAACAAAAACAAGTCTATAGTTTGAATTTAACGAATTACTCAATTTATTATTTATTATTTTTATTTTTGATGACAATATTTTTTAGATTTTAGGTAGAGTAAAACTCCGATTAACCAACCTAATCATGTTATTGATGGTCTGGATACCACAAACATGCCGATAATTTAAACGCATAATATTTAAAAGTATTTATTATGTAGTTAATGACAATAAATAAATTATAATATATTCTATGTACGTGATTTAATAAAACGTTATACAGTTAAATATTTTTAATATCATATAAAATTGTATTTGCTTCACGATTACTAAAAATCCATTTTAAAAGATAAATAATTGTTTATAACTTATTAAATATTACCAAAATTAATAACCGTAAGGGCATTGTTCAGTCGAACAACGGGTACAAAAACGTTGTATTTGACGTATAATATAATAATAATATGTGTAACGTTTGTTAGTCGTTTATCCTGTGGAATCGTAAAATCAAATGGAAAACCGTTTGCGATTTATTTTAACTACGAACAGCCGGGCGATATTACTCGCATAGTATAACGATGTATTCGGGGTGGGTAGTTGGACGGGGTGCGGCGTAACGGGATCACGTCTACGGTTTCTTCTTCTTCGGCCTGGACGGTTGACTGGAAACGGCGAACGACCCGTACGGACCATTGTCGAAACTGCCCTGGAAACCGGACGTGCCCTTGGCGGTGGCACTGATGTCGAAGCCGATGGGCCTGCAGCCGTTCAGCGGCCCGTACCTGATGCGTATGGTGAACCGGACGGGCACGTTGCCCTTCTTCACCTGGTCGCGGGACCATTTCTCGAACTCGTCCCAGCGGTTCAGCAAGCTGCTCTGCGCGGTGATGCGACGGTTGACGCTGCGGTGCATCGGCACCATGTTCCACTGCTCAATGGGACCGCCGAACACGGACGCCACCACGTGGCCGCGCTCGTCGTCCGCCTCCCGGTCCATCTCGGCCATGCGGTTCGCCCACTTGGTGCCCTTGAAGTCGGTCCGCTTGTCCGAGTCGGCGTACAGGTCGCCGGTCACCTGCACCGTCACCGGTGTCGACTTGCCGTTCTTGCACTTCACCGTCGACTCGGTCACCGAGATCGCGTTCTTGCCGATCAACGTATACGACGTGGACGCGCCCGCGTCGTCAGTGGCCATCACCAGCAGCAGCAGCGCGACCGTGGCCGCGGTACATCTGTTGATCATGGTAGCGAATACCCGTGCGGAGGTGGACGATCGACGATTGTTGTCCGCGCAGAGCGATAAATGCGCTTCGTATGTTGCTGGTCAGGCGCGGGAATGGTCGTGCAGGAACGAGTGCAGCGATACCGGATCAGAACTGAGACCGTGGTTGGCGCGGCTCGCGTATTTGTAAGCGCGCGCCTAGAGCGGCGGCCGAAACCGGTTTTCCCGTTTCGTTTGTCCGGGTTTTTTCCCGTGACGCGATTTTGAACGTGTGCCGATTGCGTGACGTGCGTCGATCGAGGAAAACAACGTATCGATCATATTTATTTGTTTATCGTTCGCGGACGACGATAAAAAAAATATTGGCTGGTAATCGTTATAACGACCTGCGTGTTACCTACGTGGTACGGCTGATCCACCGACGACTACAGTGGGAGCGGTGCGCGCAGGGAACGTTGAGCAAAAATTAACATGATTACGGCGTAATACTAAAAAATAAATATATATATATATATACATAATAAAAAATAATAATCATGTCGTTAATTGTATTGAATCCGTATCCAACGTAAATACGGTGCGTCTGAAATCAGAAACAAACCTGCAAACATGAAACCAGTGGCGGATTAGGGGGCAGGCTAAAAGGTTTATAGCCTAAGGCGGCTTTTTTTATAGAATTAATTGTTATTATTGACTTTTTAGGTATATTTATTTTTATATTTGTCATATAAACACGAATAAAAATAATTTTAAAAATTTATAATAGTATATTAATATATACATTATATGATTCGTACCTATAAGCTATAATAAGAATATTACAATTATTAATACAACTTGAAAATATTTCATTTGTAATAAGTAGGGAACGGATTTATATGTAAATGCATATTTTTATTAAAACGAGATATTTAAGATTCGATAAGAAATGTTTATGATTTAAATCATTCCTATTAAAATGATGATACTTTTATTTTACATATTTTTACATATTTTGGTATAATTACATATTTTTACATATTTCAATAATTTTTAATTATTTTTAAACATATTTTTATCATTTCATCATTCATACGTCTTCTTCGTACGAAAATACAAGAAATTATTTCAAAATTAGATCCAGAAACTTTTATCGCTATTGGAAAAGCTCAAAATAATATGCAAAATGAAACATTGAAAATTATTTAATTTTAATTAAAAATAATTTAACAAAATTATTAATAAAAAATATGTCCCCAAATGATAGTATGCAAATTGTTAAATCAGCGATTAAAACTCGTAAGCGGACCAATAGATGTCGTAAAAAAGAAAATTCATGCTGTTACAGAAAAAAATTCCAGGCAATATTGATTTTAAAACAATCAATGACATAATGAATGGCAGACAACCTTTTAAAAATTTGGAATTATCGCCTTCTGATAGTATACACTTGAAATATGCTTTTAATACATCGGTTGATGTGAAACGATAATTTAGCCGTTTTAAAAATATTTTGATACCTAATAGGCGACATTTAGCATTTGATAATTTACAAGATATTGTAATAATTCAATGCAACAAATCTTTTTGATAATTTAATAATAATAATCACTTTTTTTTTAAAGTTTTTTTTCCCCACATATTTGGATGTTTTTAGCACATATTTTATAAATTATACTTACATATATATGTACATATTTCTGTATTTTAATTACATATAAATCCGTTCCCTAGTAATAAGATAATTACAGTTAGTTACTAGTTATTATTAATAACTTATTAGTACCTATGTACTTATTGGGAATATCCGACTATCCGAGTATAGGTATTTTCATATCTGACTGTTTATATTTCCATTATGTGACTGTATAAGCATTTGTACTGGTAATAATAGTATCTGAAGTAAAATAATAGACATGAAATATTTAATTTTTAGAAGTTTTCTATTTTAAAGATTTTATATTTTATATATATATATATATATATATATATATATATATATATATATTTTTTTTTTTTTTGTTGATAAAAAAAACTGAATAAAATTTGAAGAGAAGGATTTAGACCAAATATTGTTGGTTCCTCAGTAGAGTGATAGGGGAGGGAGGGCAGAGTGATTAAGCCTAGGGGCACCTAAACGCTAAATCCGACACTGCATGAAACAACTTGTCCGATCCGGATTGTATTAACATTCACCGAAGTTTTTTTTTACTTCAGATCGTTTCGTTTTTGCATCGCATCGGACGCGGAAACGTACGGACGTACGGACGTGTTTGTTTAATGAAATTTCTTCGCGTTCACGTTTGAAATGAATGCGAATCACGATCTAGTAGTTAGATGAAAATCGGACGTGATTCGGATTTACGTTAGACACGGCGTAAGCAGTGACGTAAAAACCTGGTGTGCAGAGTGTGCACTGCACACACGTCCCGAGCCTCATACTATAGCATAGGGCCTTATCAAAAGGTCAAATGCTCAAAAATGTATTATGATAACGGGCCTCAAGATTTTGATTTACACACAGGCCTTGAGTAGTTCAGTTACGACAAATGGTCAACGCAAAAATCGTCGTGACTGTGAGACACAATATAACTAATGTTGTTGCGTGCCAACCGTTTGATCCTTGATTCCAGTACTAATGTCTTAGTCAACGCTTGGATGTAGATGTAGAAAAATAAATTAAGAATTTTTATAATACGTTAATTTATTAAACTGTTAAAGAAACTTATCCTAAGTACAATTAAATGTATTTAATTGTAAATATTTCTAAGTCGAATAATAAAACTGTAACAAATATTCTAAGTCCTAACAATTAATTTATAAAAATAGTTCGAAATGTTTCTAAGTCCGGGCCATGACATACACTGACGTAAAGGTGCTCAGTGCAGCATAGCCAAAACTCGTCTGATTTGCCCTTGTTTTCGGGTCCCTTTTATATTTGCTATATGTAAGTGTGTGTGTGTGTATATGAAAATAAATATATGATAATAAAAATATGATATTTCTTTATTGATTGTGAGAGTGTGTGCGGATTATGACACACATGTCCAGGATGTGGTTTTTATCACTTTGATTAACTAGATATTTTTAATTTTCCATTAAAAACATTTTAGTTTCCCATAAAAGTTTATATAAACCATTTCACTTATCTATGCTTGCGGTTTCGATATTCTTAGAGCTCCGTATTGCCTATTAGTTTAATTTATTTATAATTGTGGTCTTTGTATTATTATGTCTTAGTTATTATATGACTACGCAATACGCGACAATGTACACGATAAATGCACTACTTCTCGAGTGCAGATTATTCGCGACAGTTCGAGGAGGATATAACCGATTTGGGAAAAACCTATGTAGCTTATATACTCGTAGGTTTAAATCTTGTTGGCGAATATGTTCGCTGACCAGTTTATGTCCACACGTTTGACTTAACATGACTTAACAGATGAGTGGAATTCAAGTTGAAGAAGAATCCCATCTGTTTTCGCTTTGTAGTTGAAAACAGTTTACTAACATTGGCAGTGGCGTAACTAAGAGGGATCAGAAGGTGCGTATAGGGGCCTGAAGTAATACACATTTTTTGTTGATTATTAATAAAAACTATTTTTTTTCTAATATAATGTACTATTAAACTAATCGTATTTTTTTTAATAATTCAAAATTATTGTGAATTATTATTATTATTATTATTTATTTTATTTTACAATACGGCACGAATCTCTTTGTTATAAAACTAATAATAATAATAATAATTATGCTATGTAGTAAATAGTGATCCACAGCAGTGGCGTCAAACACGTACTCTTATGGGGCAGTTAACCCCTTCATTTAACTATGGTGGTTAACTCTAGTTAGTAAATCTTAGGAATGTACAAATTAAGTGACAGTTGATCTGTAAATGGTAGGATACTATGATGCGATAGAACAATTCGCCTATCAAAACATGTCTTTATACCATATCAAGTATAAAGACGTACATTAACATTTATATCTATTTCGTACACATGATGAAGTAAAAGGTCTCTCGATTCTCAGTGTTTAAAAGTGATTATATAGCATGCAAATACATCTTTTAAACATTTTAAGATACTTACTTAAATTACCAATAGCCCCGTGAAACATTTTGAAACATCTTTTTTTTAAATTATAGTTGTTTAAAAAATTAAATAAACTGTTTTTTGTTGTACATTCCTTTAATTTTAATAACGTATTTAATATTTAAATAATCAACCATAACGGAGGAACGTTTAACTTTAGGATTAGCTTTAACAAATATCAATAAAAAAAAAAATCTGACCGAATTAGAAGTTCTACAACAATTTTCAAAAACATCACCTAAGCGACTACAATTATTAGACTGGACTAAATAAAAATATGTATTTTATTGCCCATTATTGTTGTTGTTATATTTTTTCATATATTTTTTGTTTATTTAATGCTTAGTTTAAATAAAAAATAAAAATCAACTATTTTATTTTTTAATCCAATGCGCCTGTTACAACTGAGTAATTATTTATTTTCAAGCCCTTCCCTCATTGTAAAATTCTGCGTACGCCACTGATAGTAAGCAGGGACAGATCTAGGGGAGGTTCAGGGGGTTCAGCTGATCCACAGTTAAAATTTGTTAACAAAATTGGCCTCTTCGAAATTTTTTTAGTTGTCATGTCGAATAAACCTTTCGAAAGGCTAAAATCGAACACTGTAACAATATTATGGATACACGAAAATGTGCGTTGAGTTTTGTTGGATTTTGAAGGACACAAATATGCGATATGCGTATTGTTCGAGGTATAACTGTAAACGGTAACGGCAACGGTTGTCGGTAATCAATCGGCCACGTTGACTTTCGATGGTCGCGTTTTAATATGGTAACGCGGGGCGTGTTCGGCTAGGTGTATCGATGCGATTCTACGACATACGCGTACATTGTTACTGACCAGTACATACTTTTAACGTAGAAATCATTTCGGGCGACTGCAATTTTGATCGGGACGGTTGATAGCAAGTGTCAACGAGTTTTCACGACAAACTGCGGAAACACGGTTGATTTGTTAAGATACTAGGACTTGCACTTAGATATTATTTAAATGTGGTTCGCCAGGGTCAAAATATTTGTTAATAACTATTAATTATTCGTTTAATTTTGTTCCGTTTTAATTACATTAAAAATACTACTCGATAAAATGTTTTGACGGATCAGCGATTATACAAATGTACGT